GGAAGGGCGGGCGGGCGAACCACACTGAAAGCGCTCTGAGCGGAACAACCGAACAACCCTACGCACGGGGTATCTCCGACCTCGGCGCCGAGAGACACCCCGCGCTCCGCTCTCCAGTACTTCCCTCAAAAGACAGCGGTTCGGACCTCCGTCAAAATAAAAAGTTTCGCAGGCCACAAAATTTTGAATGGACTTCAAACCCGTCATTTCACCAGGTTTCCCTCGCGGCGCAGTGGTCACTATCCTAGTTCCCACTGCGCGTCGATGTCGACGTGGCAGAGTGCGGTAAACTAGAAATCTGTCTGTAGCGGTTCTCCATGACCATGTGGTGGGTCAGTACTACAGTTCAAACCTCCGTGTACCGACGCATTCAACCTCAACCGTCTTAGATAGTGCCCCCGGGAGTGTGTGCTGACCGCTGTGGTTGGAAGCGGGGGAGGGGGAGGGCGCCGAGCGGGCTCAAGCATCAGCAATTTAGTTCTATTAAAAAAAAAAAATAGACCGATAAATTAATTTCTAAATTCTATTTCGTCTCTAAAGATACACACATAAAAACTATACACACAACAAAAATTCAAGGAAAGTGTTTTTATCTAGATACATATAAATAAATATAAATAAGTTACTTTCTTTCCTATCATTATTTAGTAATCATTACAAGGCAATGCTGATTTACAGGTATAAGATCAGCAGATGGTTTTTACTTTTACTGCACATCTTAAAACTTGATGTCTGCACTTACATCCTAGGACTAGAGAGGATAAGAGAGGCATACTGATAAAGCTAGTTGGATGAACAAAACGATACGTCACCACACCAGGTGGGCCGTGAAAATTTAAATGCGTTGAATTTTCAGGTTATAGTTTTCTTGTCCCCCGCATGCGGTGGCCTCAGCGGTGACCTAGGCGGCGACCTAGGCGGCGACCTAGGCGGCGACCTAGGCGGCGACCTCGGCGGCGACCTCGGCGGCGACCTCGGCGGCGACCTCGGCGGCGACCTCGGCGGCGACCTCAGCGACGACCTTGGCGGTGACCTTGACGGCAACCTCGGCGGCGACCTACAGCCGCAGCCCGGCCTGCACCTTGGCCATGGTCCCGGCCGACTGCTGCAGCTTGGAGGTCTCCTCCTCCGTGAGGCGCTGCCTGACGATCTGCTCAACGCCGCCGCCGCCCAGGATGCTGGGCAGCGAGAGGAACACCTCGTGGTCGATGCCGTGGTGGCCGCGCACCAGCGTCGACACGGCGCTCACGTCGTGGGAGTTGCGGATTATACTCTAAGAGCATTTACAAAAAATACATTTAAGTTTGCTTCGAAATTTGCCCAGGTTTGATTTTTTTGAAATTCAGATAGGGTAGGGTGGGCCATCGGTGCCGTTCTGTATATAAATGTAAAAATGACGCGAGAACGGCGCCGATGGGCCATCCTGCGTGCTGATTGCACCAGTTCCAGGGCTCACCTGGCACAGAGCCGACACGCTGAGACCGATGGCCCAGGACGTATATCCCTTCAGACGGATGATTTCGTAGGCACTGTCAAAGAAAGGACAAAATGCAATGTCGTGCTGTTTGTTTTCTTGCGGTAGGTAACGCAGGCAACCCATTCCACTTTGAAGCTGACCGCTCAAGAAGCTTAAGGAGAAAGGGTGGGGGGGTACTTCCCCAAGGGAAGTGGGTCTGTTCGCCCAAGAAAAAATCCGCTTATCTTCGAGGTGCACCTTAATTTGATTACGTCTATTGGATGCATTGCTGTTGTAACGAACCTTGACACGACTTGGTGATGGACTTCGGACCACTTCTCGTCGTCGGCCGAGCTGCCGATCTCAGGATCAATGTCGCGAAGTCGCACTCCGGCCACGTTCACACCGGACCACACCGGCACTGTAGAAAAACAAAACAAAACGCTAGTTAATTCGTGGAAAACAGAGACAAAGAAGGAAGGTCAGGTCGTCAGGTGCATCCCCCAACAGAGTTTGAACAAAAATTGCTTTACTTTTTAGAGGGCAAGGTACTTTTTTTACAGCTCATTTCTAAATGATGTACCCCTCGCCGTTAAACGGTGCTCACCGCTCGTGTCGCCGTGCTCGCCGATGATCCAGCCGTGGACGGAGGTGGGCGCGAGCCCGAGGCGCTGCGAGAGCAGGAAGCGGAAGCGAGACGAGTCCAGGTTGGTCCCGGACCCGATGACGCGGTGGTGCGGCAGGCCGGACAGCTTCCACGCCACGTAGGTCAGCACGTCCACGGGGTTGCTGACGATGAGCAGGATGGTGTCCGGCGAGTGCTTGACGAGCTGGGGGATGATGGAGCGGAAGATGTCGGTGTTGCGCTGCACCAGCTCCAGGCGGGACTCGCCCTCCTTCTGGCGCGCGCCCGCCGTCACGATGCAGATCCTGGAGCCCGCCGTCGTGGCGTAGTCTGGGGAACAATCACGGACAAATTTGTAAAACTTCAGGAAAAATGAAAAAAATCAGAAAAAATAATGAAGATGCCAGAAAAAGTCAGAAAAATCAGAAAAATCAGAAAAAATAAATGAAAATGCAGAAAAATTGTTGTACGCTTGTAGTTTGTAGTTATAGTAAAGGATCCCTCGCAATAAGGCTCACCTGTGGACGCCGTCACGGTCGCGTTCTTGAGGAAGGTGGAGCCGTGCTGCAGGTCCATCATCTCGCCCTTGAGCTTGTCCTCCACCATGTCGACGAGCGCGAGGTCCGAGGTGACGTTCTGCGACAGGAGGCTGAAGGCGCACGCCATGCCCACCTGCCCGACGCCCACGACCGTCACCTTGGACTCGCTGCGGGGCACCCGCTCCGTGACGGGGCTCAGCAGCTGCACCGAGAGCCGCTTGGCGGGACCCGCGGCCGCCGGGGCCGGAGGCGACGTCCCGTTCTTGGAGGCGCCGTTCATTGTCTCTTCAAATATGTCTCAGCTTCTCAAACACCTGAAAAAGAGACACAACTTATGAAACGATCGGCTGCTGTGATGAAACATGACGTAGGAGAGGGGCCGAGCGCTGCGTGCGGTGAGTATTCTCCGGCTGCAGGGTATATTACCCGCCTCTTCGATTTTGCAGAGTTTCTCGCCGGGGAGGGAGGGGTTAGGACGCGGGTAGGAGGAGGCGGCAGACGGAACTGGGAGATGACCACGTACGGGATCGTCCAGAAAGCACGTCCGTTTTCGCCGTTTCCCCTCGGATTCATTCGGGAAATTGCGAGAGCTCGGCGCCTGCGAGACTCTGGATAGGCCACCCCGCCGTACACGCGTGCACTGCAAGCAAGATGTTGCCTACCCGCCAGGCGCTGAGAGAGCTGGCACGCACGAACAGGCTGAACTTGGCAGGTTTGCAACTACGGCGATGACGGACGTTCCTCCTGGGCGACCCCTTTAACGACGTATAGAGTCCCTCGCGAGGTCCCTCGGCTTGGAGATGACCGCACTCCTTGAGATCGCCCGCGCCTGCCCGCTTTACGAGACAGAACTCTGTCTGCGCCTAACGGCGGCGCCCAGGAGGGGACACGGCTCGCAAAGCACTACTTTACGACCCATCAACATCAAATCCAGTCTGCCTTGCGGCTCACCAAACTGTCTGCTGCTCCAACTCGCGACTGCCGGCGGCCGTCGTTTTAAATTTGGCACGACGCTCGAGCCGCGCAGGGCAACGACAACGACAACGCACGCGTCTTCCGTCTTGGGCGACGCTGCATCGATCCGCCGAGGGGATTCCGAGAAAGTGCCCCCCCCCCAACCCTCTCCCCTCCCCTGGTGGCCAGACTGATGCAATTCCCTCCGTGCCGAGCTCACTACTCGCAACAAGTGGTTCGGCGGAGGAGGGGGGGGGGGGCTTTTTACAAACATTCCTATACGATGATTCATTCTCTCCCTCTCAGGTAAGTTGCACAAGCTTGCACGCTGTGGTTGTCATATTAGGGTTTCAAGTTTCGGTTTTCAATTTCTAATATTGCGTATTTCGAGTAGCACTCAGGCGCGTCATCAGGGTAGTGTGGGTGGAGTCCGTCTGGCTGCTCCTCGGCGGCCGCTGGCCTTCTTTTTGCCCGGCCCTCGCCTCCTCGACTTTCAATGACTATTTTGGTCTGAGCCCGGCCGAATGCCGATGAGATGCACTGCATAAGGCCCCCACAATGGGGAATCGGCTGGGGATCGATCATATAGGGACTTACTCTCTAGGATTGATAGCACATTAAAAATAAAATTCCAGCCCAGAATACGATGTTCCACGTTGTATAATTTGCCATTATTGAAATCAAAATCAAAAATATTAAGAGGGAAACCTTGACATTTTGTGAAGGCCCTTCTTTCTTAAAAACATGAGCTAAATAGAGCGAAGCTATCTTTGAACTTGTGCGGCCTGTCCCGCGAAGCGTTATCTCACGCACGTTAAAGTGAGGTCAGTAACTTGGCTACGGACGGGATCCTTGACTTATTAGTTCCGACGGGTTATCATACACATCGTCGGGAGAAAGTTCAAGACTTTTAATCGGGGTTAACCGAACCCCGCGCAGGCTAACTAACCGAAGTGGTTGAACTTTAACAAAGTTTCAAGGGGTGGACCACTCGGACATTCTAAAACTAAAACTAAAAAATATTCAAAAAATATTCCAGATCCAAAAGTATTCCGAATGTTCCACCCAAAATTTCTAGATATTCCACAAATATTCCAGATATTTCATGTACAGCAAAAATCTGAGTGGTTGACCCCTCGCAGAGTTTCAGCAAGAGAAGAATAATCAATTGTAGACAAATCAAACCGCCACAAGCTCGTAGGGGTCAGAAAAGGAATAAAACTCCCGATCAGAATCTGCCAGCTTTAGCTGTGTGGGCAGCTCGGGGTAAGCCGGCCCCTTTGACCATGATAAGCGGGAGACGAGAGAAAAGCCCGTATCTTATCGATTCGCTAACAAATCTGTCATTATAGAACCAATTTCCCGAACCCCCCTCCCTCCTCTAAAAAAATTATAACCGATGCAATAGTTTTTCACGTTTGAAAAAAAAAAACTACGCCATACGAAGAAAGTTAAAAAATTCGGTCTATTTTTATAAGCAACGCTTTGACACTGGCTCAGTTATTTTAAGAAACTAAATAAAAGGGAGATTCCATAAAGGGAAAGGGGGGGGGGCGGGGTTCCGGAAGAGCTGATTTTGAGACAACCCTTTACCTTTGGATGTGTGTTTTTTTTAAGTGCACAGCATAGTGTTTTTAACCTGGACGGCAGCACTCTTGTGGTACTTGGTAAAAACGAGCAGAGAAAAGCTCCACATTCGAGTGGGCGGGCAGACGGCTGTAGGCAAGGGAACGGAGGGGTGGGAGGGCATTCCAGACGAAAAGGGCGTTAGGAGCATTGAGGGCCGGGGGGGGGGGGGGGCGCGAGTCTGGACCCACCCCCTCCAGAGGGCACGGAGAGGTCGTCGCGTCTTACAAGTCGAGGTGTGAAAAGGAAGTCATGTGCCGGTTCAGAAGATGCGATTAGTGTTCTAGCGATTAATAAATGACAATAATAAAATGAAGGGGCGGAAAGGCAATAGCGGGGACTGCACAGCTTGCGTACAAAAAGGTTGCATTCACCGAATAAAGCTCGTTGGTCAGTACGAGGTGGTTAAATGGTCCAAATAAACCCGTATACTTTCGCGGTTACACCGTGCGGTAAACATGTGGGTTGCCTACACTCTCAGGGCCGTCAGCCGTCACGAAAAACGGGTTGGCAACATTCGGTCCCTGCACGCATACGGTACAGATAGCTTTTAAAATAAAATGAGCTTTTAAAAAGAGCTTTTAAAATAAAATGTATGAGGTCAATATGCTCACTTTTTTTTTCACTCGGTATGAGAATCACAAAAGGGAATTACCACACTGATCACACTCACGTCGGTTTAGGCTGGGCTGACGCCGGAGGCTGGCGCGCTGATGCAACAATACTGGCGCGCTGGCCGCTCGAGTCCTGGAGCTCCTGGTGCAGCTCCTGGTGCAGCTCCTGGTGCAGCTCCTGGTGCAGCTCCTCCTGGGCAGCAGGACAAGCGTGCGCGCGTGTGGACGGCGGGGCAGACAGTGGTCAGCGCCCGGGGCAGGGCACGGCAGGGTACGGCAGGTCCGCGGAAGAGTGACGGCCGGGCCGATCAGATAGCGGGCCGGGCAGCCTGGCTCTAGGCGCGACTGGGACTGCGCAGAGAAATATCCTCTGTGCCCGCAGTGTGGCTGCGGGAACTGAACTGGGGCTGAGCTCCTGCTCGGCGACGGCGTTCTTGTTGGGAGTCGAAGACGTTGTGGCGCGGCGCTGCTGCGGGGCCGACGGGCGGGCTGCTTCTGGCTCGGCCTGGTCCTGGAGACCAAGGTGACCCCTGCGCAGCGGCCGCGACCCCTCCCCCACCGCGGGGTGGAGGCGCGGGCGGGGCGCGGACGCGAGGAGGGGGAGCGAGGGAGGGAAGGACCGACCCCCTCACCCTCCCCCCCACCTCC